GGGGCACACCCCCCCCCCCCACTTCCGCAGGCTCTGTACATCCCGCCCTCACCCTCACCCTTAAGTTGTAATATTCCTGAATTGTCTTTTTGTAAAAAAAATTTAAAAACACCATTACATTCTGAATAACCTTGAAGTGAAATATAATTATTATATTTTACATAAAATGATAGTGTATTACTATTTTTTGAGAGTATAAAAGAGAATTTTTATGCTCTCAAAAAATTAATTAAATATAAGTTAAAGAATAGAAGATCAATCCAAAAAATAACATGATTAAGATAAGATCCGTTCGACAAAAAAAACAAAAAACAACAACGAAAGACGGCAATAAAAAAAAATCGTTCTATGTTTTCTATATGTTGAAAAAATGTCTTCGATAATATCGTCGAAGAAGTGATTTACTAGATCAACATATTTTGATCGTAATGTTCATTTCCTTTAATTGTGTTATGCATATGCATACTTGAGATTCTGTCTATGAAAAAAACACAAGAAAATATATTTAATGAATTTTCATTAGAAAAAGCACTTACTATCATTTCAATAGAATAACTTGGCGAAGTTTTATTGTCACCAGAAGAAAATGATGACTAAAAATTTGGTGCTACTATTGAAAGAAACTTTAAAAATGATAATTTACCGCTGGTTGTTTAGTAACGATGGTATTAATATTTCTTACATCATTTGCTGTTTGATTCCCAGGACGAACAATCCGATACCTGGATCCAACCGGACTCAATCGGATTTCGATCAGTTCCTGCAGGATTCTAAGCAATTAGGGATCCGTTAGTAGTTTCTCGATCCTGGATCTCATGGGACATTGTCGGCTCGTCGGATTTTATAAGATCCGATCGGATCCATTCACCTGGGTTATTAATATTTGTTTCCGTACAACAACAAAAACAGTCTTTTCAGCTGGAACAGTTGTTCATCTAGAAATTAAAAATATCGATAAGATTTTTTATTGTTTTTCTTCCAGCTAAGAATAATAATATGGGCAAAGTGTGTACACATAATTCGTACAACAATAGATCTCATGGAAAAAAAATAGTTCGTGAACATTTACAAAGTATACGACAATCATAACATTTCTTTCTTTACTATCAACCAACGAGACGTTGGTTGAAAATATCCTCTTTCGTTTCTATAAAAGTGATTCATCTAATACATTTAGAACAAATCCACATCTCTTTCACTGCAAACAAATGACACTAGTACCCAGGTCGAACAGTACGGTCCGTATACGGCCATTGACGGTTACTTTACGACTATTTTACGGGCGAAAGTTTGCTGTAATATCTGGCGTAGTAATACGGACCGCATTATCATGAGAGTACGTAGCACAAACAATCATAAACCACGAAAATTCAGTCCCGTTTACGGTGCCGTATTACTGCGCCAGGTATTGCGGGCAAATACGGCCTATTTACTGCCGTAAATATACCGTTTTGACATCTTTTACCGTCGATAAACAGACCATAAACGAGTCCGTTTTGATCAACCTGGGTAGTTAAAAACGAAATTAAGATTTTTTTGAAAAGAGAGATATTACTAGTATTATTATTACAATGAATTGTCTTGATACTACAGTTCACAGTTGTTTATTTATATATTATAATTTAATAGTTTTATTTTATATTTGGCAAGTTTTCATGGAATACACAACATAATATTTACGAATGAGGAAGTCTTTGCTAAACAAAAATCAATTCTATTAAAAAATCTTATCATTTTATATGAAATTAATAAAATTTTTTTCAGTCAAAAGATATATATATATATATATATATATATATAGAGAGAGAGAGAGAGAGAGAGAGAGAGTGACCTTCATTTTTCATAGAATGTTTCAAGTTTGTTTCTAACATGTATGAGAATATGTTATTGATTTGTAAACAATTGATCAATGATTCTTACCGTGAAATGAAAATGGTAATGCACGCTCGCCATGTTTGTGTTTTTTTTTATAGGATATCTAGAATGTAGCAACTAATAACCTATGTTGATTGTTATCGATCGACAAATTTATTCAATGACAAACTGAAAAGTTATGCATAAAATATCTTTATATACGAGTGGTATGACAAAAGCAGTATCTCATTTATAGAAGCTAATTAACCAACAGCAAACATATTTATTAAGATGATCTTTCTTCCTTGTTAATTGTTAGTCCGGGGTTATTCTTTATCCTTTTCTTTTCATATAATATTCACTGTGAAAAATATCATATTGCATAAAAAGAACAAATTATTCTTTTTTCGATGTTTTGCAAGTTTACCTAAATGAATGGCTACAAACAGGTGGACATCAGCGAAATTATTTAAAAATACTAAAATGTTAAGAAACCTAAACGAACCATGCATTTATGTTTTTGGTAAAAAAAGTTGAATTATACATGTTCTGGATTTATTTTAGAAAAAACAAGCATGATTATACTTGGAAACTTCGCTAATGTTCTACGAGCGTTCATAATTAAATCCTAGTTCATACGTCGATCGATGTCGATACTTAAGCAATAAGTAATCACATAATTCAAACGTTCATACATGATTTCTTTTGTTGAATATGCAGGCAATTCAAGAACAAAGGCACATGTATAAGATCCTAGACAGAAAAAATAGTCATATAATTCAATTCATTGTTAAAATAAAATTCATAATATTTTCTGATTAAAGTATCACTATACAGTGTTAGTTACGGCACATTTCCAAAAACTCAAGTAGGCGAGATTCTGAGATCTATTCAATTTGCATCAGAGGAAAAGGTATCTTATAAATTTATCTTTCTTCCCGCGTAAAAATATTTCAAGTAAAACCGCTTCATACCACGGTTTTTCCACCACACCGCGGTTGATTTTGGGAAACCGTGTCTTCTAGCGGTTTTCTGTAGCTGCGGTCACAGAAAGCCGCGGTGTTTGCATTATCAACTGCGGTCTGCGAAACCAACGACAACCATGATTAGGCAAACCTTGTTGTAAGTGTCATTGATTGCGAAGTACGGAACCAATGTATACCATTGATGTCATAAACCACGGTGTTAGTAGGATACACCGCGAGCGGCGGAATTTATGCAAACCGTTTATGTGCTAGCCCCTCTCTAGATACCATCCACAACAGGACAGTATCATACGCGAATATGAGCTCAGAGGGAGCCTTTATATTGGGCAACTATAGGTAGACAGAAAAATGTTTTCATTTGTTGATGGTCTTCATACATATTTTTGATACGGCTATTACAGATACTACTGGTTTTATATGAAGTTATTTCAATAACAGATTTAAATTTTTTAACGCGAAAGAGAATATAGTGGCTGTTTTAGTGATTGAAATTGATTTGGTGTTAGAGGTGGCTTGCATTCTAATAGATTGATTTCACAGGCATATGTAACTAATTCATGAAATTTATAAAAAAAACCTATCAGACGTATCCTAATACGACTAATATTTTAGAGTCAATAATCACACAGTAGCACAAAGATAAAGTTCGAAAAATTTCTTCGCTGTACCGCGGTGCGTCAGATACAATTAAAAACGCGGTTTCTTTCTTCCTTTGCCGTTCTTTATTACTATATGTGCAAAGACAAAAATAATGTCGTGCGCTAAGATTATCGCTCAACTTCTAAAAAATTACCACCAGTACAACCATGTGAACTATTGGTGTGTGTGCTTTGCGGAAGAGGCGAGCTGTGGTGTCTAGAAGAACAGATTGCATAAGTAATGTGTTATGACCCTGCCTCTGAGGGCATTTTTAACACTTTGCCTGTTGCTTCCACAAAGTAGCAACTGATCACCCGCGCGAATGTGAGTTTTGGTTGCAATGTGTGCTCCAAAATCTTATAGTGGAGGATGAAGATGGAAGATTGTTATTAGGTTGCAATTATTTTAAAACTTTGATAAATATTAACTGGCAAATACCACGTTTTGTAAGAAGTCGTGGCTATCAGCAGTTTCATTTCATCGCAAAAATCAGACCGTTTATTCCGTTTTTAGGAACCGGCGCTAACCGTCTAATTTTGAAAATCGCGGTTATCGACGGTTGTTAAAAACCTAATAAAAGGTCTGACTTTCTCGGTTTGTTAATACCGTTGTGAACCTCGGTATGAAAAACCTCGCTCTGTAGCGGTTTTCAATGAAAATGCTTTACGTGGGTAGAGAAGAAACAGAATAATACAATATGACGATAGACGAACGTGAAAGAAATACCATCGAAATTACCCGAAGCGCTCGATATTCTAAGACGGTTACAGCTATTTGCATCGAAAGAACAACCTGAACTGTATGTGTTGATTAGTGAACTCGACTTAAAAATGACTGATCATTATCCTGATTGGAAAGTGTACAAACAAAGTTGTATAACAGATTTTTTCAAAAAGCATCCATGAAACTCAAACAATGATTAAATCATTTACGTTAAAAGTTCGGTTGAATAATTGATTTTGCAATAAGATAATTACCCACACCCACGAAATCCTATCGGCATCCGGGTGTGAGACCTACAATCAGAACCCTAGTGTTGGAATCCGACATAAGCATTCGACCCATATGTTATGTTAGCGCCATATGCTTATTCATTGGTGATTACGAAAATATTTTTTTCCGTCGGATCCGTTAGTAGGTCTGTGACCAGGAATCTGATCGGGTTTTGTCAGTTTGTCGGATCCCATGAAATCCGATAAGATTCAGTGTCGGATTCATTCATCTGGGCATGCAAACTAATTTATTAAAAATAAAAACAATGATGAAGTTCTATTGCTTTTATTAAGAGATATTGATCAAGATCAAATGTATTTTAATAGTAAACATACTTGAAATCATTATAACTTTCACTAGATCATCATCATCAACATATCGACGATCAGCTTGTTTGATATTAACACGTTATTCATTATTGAAGAGCTCATGTATAGTTTGAAAGGAAATAGTTAGGGCATTTTTAAAGATTTTGAGTCTAGTAAGACTCACTCTGAAGCATTGTGCATAGGGATGTGTGGCGTCAGTGGCAACACCGAAAAAACCGTCACTTTTGTCACCGACAATGATTCTCAGTGCACACTGATAGCTTCAGCGCCTCTGACCATCGAAATATTGATCACACTGACACCGACATCACTGATGCGCTGATACCATCGGCGTCACTGGTAAGCCAGGCACACTGACTTCACTGATATCTCTTAATTAATTGTTACATAATACTGCAAGATATGTGCTTTAAATGAACAAAGAGTGATCATAAAGTAGAAGCATGTTTTTGTTTTTGTCGAAGATTTTTTCACTTATAACTTATTTATCTAATTCTTCGACAAAAATGTATTAATTTTCTTCACGTTTCTAATACTCTAACCATTAATTTTCCTGAAAAATATATGCATCTACTTTATGATCATTCTTTGATAAAATAAAATAAAATAATATAAATAGGATTTAATTATGATCATTATTTTTTTTATTTAAAGCACATATCTTACAGTATTATGTAACAATTAATTAAGAGATATCAGTGAAGTCAGTGTGCCTGGCTTACCAGTGACGCCGATGGTATCAGCGCATCAGTGATGTCGGTGTCAGTGTGATCAATATTTCGGTGATCAGTGGCGCTGAACCCATCAGTGCGCACTGAGCGTCGCTGTCGGCGTCTATCGGTGTTCAGTAAACGCACACCGCACATGCCTAATTGTGCAATAAGAATCAACAAGATAAAATGGAACATAAAGTTAGAGTAGCTCACTCTGAGCTGAAAACTCAAAAATAAATAAATAAATCAATGTTCAGAAAATAAAGTCAATGTATAGCTATGCTGACATACTTTGAACTAATTAGAGTCATCAGGCATTCAACATATCTTCGTGCAACCTCATTTTTCCAAACATTTATATTTACTTGTTTGAGTCACTGTTTAAAAAATTTTGCTTATTGTCTTCTTGATATTTTTTGGAATGGCTCAAAGTGGATTTCACTAGACTCAGAATTTCAAGCTATATCGACTGTTTATGTCTCGGAGCTTATTTGACTGATATCCAAACATGTTTTCATTAGAGTGAGGATGGATGAGGCAGAATCCACAGTCATTGGTCATATTTACGTAGCAATCGACGATGACAAGCTCCTTTTTTCAAAGAGTTCTTTAGCAACAAAAAAAAGGTATTGATTGGCACTAACGACAATGTTCTGGCTGTTCTCAAATATGAATTAAAACAATAAAATCTTAATTAAATCAACAAAACAATTTCAAAAATTTTAAGAAGTTGTTGATGAAATATTTAAAATTTGATTAAAATTTTCAAATGAGATTTGATGAGGGTTAATCCAATTTATTCTTCGATAAGATGATTTTAATTGATGAATTACTTCAATAAAACCTTTATCACCACTAATTATTGTAAATGAAATAGATTTAGGTAGAAGACCATGTAGTTTACCAAACTATAAACGAAATATAAGATATGAGACAAACAAAATTTCGATAAAAATTTACAGTGAGAACAAGAGCAAAATCAGCAGCATCATGCCGATTTCCACTTGGCCGCATTGATTGAAAATTATTTAAATTTAATAAATTTTCATAAACAAGATCACTTAAAAACAGAAAGAAAATCAAAAGTATTTGTTAGTCACTTGATTGAAAAAATATTAATAAAAAAACTTTTTCGGGGGTTTCCATTTCATGTTTGCAGCTTGAAATGCAATAACATATGTTTGATCAGGTAACGGATTTATTAAGTGCTGAAAAAATCTTGAGAAATTTTCTAAATCAAGAAAAATAATATTTTTCATTGTTGATAAACGTTGAAAATTTTCAAGTTGTAAACTATCTTCATCTTGACTGTTTATTTTTATTTGAGATGTTTTATACATAAAGTCAGACTCAATCAATGATTGACTTTGTTCATCATTATCTTCATTTTTACTTTCATTTTCAATCCAATTTGTTATTAAATTATCTTTTGACAATTTTAGAAAGATTTTCTTTTTCTTTGATTTAAAATGATGACAATTTATAATTCTGTTCGATTTTTTTTCACTTCTATTATTCGATCTTTTTCTCCAAATATTCGTTGAGTTCATTAAAAAAAAGAAATAATAAATAAAAATTTTCTTGTTCACTTGGTTACCTATTTTATATTTGATAATATATTGTTGATTGACGAGATTTCTTTTTATTAGAATGATGTAGTCTTTCCTACTCAGCTTGTTCAGTTAAACTTAGTTTTGAATTTAGGTTAAGAACATAACTGCAATTCGAAATTGCCAAAGTAACTTCTCTTTATATTTCTTTTCATACGATACATTTACTTAAATCATGGTCGGTATACCACAGTAGTGAAAAAAACAGGTAGTATACTAGCAGCATGACGCTCATGAGTTGCCTAATTGATATTCGAATATAAATGGCAATATATAAGATGGAGGTTAGGGTTAGGAGTGAACTCAGTGTCTCTCTTCTGGGCGAGAAAGTACATCGAACTAGGAACCTGAAGTATTGCTTATAGGTTCTCATTTATTTTATAATGTTTGTTGTGACTTCAATGAATGAATCATAATATATAACTGGAAAATGATGAAAAGCAACACTTCATTGTTTGACCTTTGAAAGTTGAGAGCTCAGATTGCCGCCGCGGTGGCTCAGTCGGTAGAGCGTCAGTCTCATAATCTGAAGGCCGTGAGTTCGATCCTCACCCGGGGCATATTATTTTTATCGGAAAGAATTCATGATTTTTGAGTTTTTTTCAAATATATAATTAAGAAAAGCGAACTATTGAAATAGTTCAATTCCTACAGTAGCTATTTGACGAATTTCTCTAATTTTTACAAAGATTAACTTTTTCAAAGGATCATAATAAGTTTTCTTCCAAGCGATTTCAATACAAGTTTCATTTTCTTCGGATGTTGTCCTAAAAGTTCGATGGCAAAGCTATAGTTAAACTAGATAGAATAATTGGAAGAAAGCAATAATAATGCTATTTTATAATGACTTTAGCAATTACTGTGCTTTGTATTTACTAGTTGACTTTGAGACAGACTACATAAACACGTCGTATATAAACTCTAGCTATGTATTACATGTGGTTTATATATTTGTCAATGGGAACAAATCAACTAATATTTCATATTTAAATAAAGCTGTAAAACTAAATAGATTTCCGCAAGTGACAAGGCGAAAAAACTTCAACTATGGAGAATAGGCTTGTCAGTTTAATTCAGATATAAAAAACAATAGCTTTTATGATACAACTTTATTTAATGAAATTGAAAATTGTGTTAAAATCATGGTTGAATTCTGAATGTTTTTTTTATGAGTTTCGTTACAATTGATAAACGGAATGTTTAAAGTGTTTGTCTGATTAATTAATTATGTTTGAAATCTACAAAAAAGATAAAATCATACAAATTGAAATATTTATTAACTGATGAATTATTTTAACGTTAACTTCAATAAAATATGAAAATACGCAAAAGAGTTTTAGTATTCTAATAAACTATCGAATCGAGTTTAAAAAAATATTTGAAGAGTAAAATAGATTTGTTATTGTTTTTTATCATGTTTTAGTATTAGTTAGATATGAGTACAAATCATGTCACGTCCAATCCCTTTTAATATAAGTGATCGAAATTCATCATAAGATAGATTTTCATCAAAATTAAAATCCGACTTTTTAATATAATTTTTTAAAGTATCACTAGTTGCATATTCATTAATAATTGGTAAAAAATTTGCTAGATCATCAACATCAATAGAATCCGAGTTATTTTTATCTAAAATGCGAAATGCTTGTTCTAATTCATCATTTTGATAAAATCCCATCATAAATGGACGTAAAACAACAATGAAATTATCAAACGATAATCCATAATGATATTGTTCAGCTAATTTATTATATTCTTTTCGTGTTATATTTGTATCATATGTTCGACTACGTTTTTCTTTTTTATTTGTTATACCAGCTGATACATATTCAACAGTAAATTCTTCAAATTCATAACGAATTTCATTAATTACTCCCAAACTATGAACAATAGCTTCTGTTACAGTAAATTCGAGATTCATTTGAAAGTTTCGAATAAAGTATCTAAAATTAAATGAAAATTATTTATAGAAAGTTGTTTATCTTTGACAAACATTTGCCAAAATAGAAAATATTTAACAAAAGAATAACATCAATATCAAGGAAAAAAACAATAAAAGAAAAAGAGAATAAACGTACTATTATTCATCTGGTCAAATTCTTGACATAGATGAAAAATCTCTCTTGAATATTTATCTTTTACGATTGTTTTTTCCTCCTTCTGACAATCGATGTCTAGTATATTTATTTCTCTTGTATTTCAAGTACTTTTGAATCCTCTAATAATCAAAGTAGAATTTTTGTGAATAGATCATTATTTAAATCATTTTCTAAATAGAATATTTTAAATTGCATTTTTAACAATAAGCTTTTTCGTATATTATCATCATTCATTTAAATCTTTTATGTTATTGTTTTTCTCAGAATTTTTACATTGTTAAACTTGAAATTATATAACAAAAATTTATACTTGATTAATAGTTCGCTAAGTTTTGCTTTGCATATATCATCTATCAACAGAAATTTATAGATACTCAAAACTTTCAAAATAATGATTTTTTGAAAGCTTTCCTTAGTTTTCACACTAAAAATCTATTGAAAATGACTCTATGAAAGATTTAATGACTTAACATTTATGATTATGCGTTGGAATAAGCTTTATCATTTGTCCTTGATCTTTGAAGTACATAAGAGATTCATTCACTTGTTGATAACAAAGAGATTATAGTTCTTTCTATTATACAAAATGTCTCTCTTTTAGTTATAGTTTTCGTCACACAACAGCCATAATAAAATATTGATTGCTTCAAACAAAGCTGAATACTGTATGTTAGTCAATGTTGATTATATTCGGATGATAATTGCTGTGCCAATATTCAACAGTAACTATTAAACCGCAATCAGCTATACAACTTTTAATAACCACAAAATGTAATCTTCAGAGTTTTGAAAGAGCATTCTTTTTATTTGATAATTTCTCATATTCAGTAAAGGAAAAACAGATTTAGAAATCAAATATAAAAATTATGTTTTTTTTAATTCTTTATATATTTCAAATAAAAAACAAAATGATCTCGAATCTTAACTGAATGATGTGTTTATTTTACGTAGGACAAATTTATAGTTACGACTTTATTCGAAAATAATTAGAAATCGTCATCAGAACAGGATTGTTCTACTGCTAAAGTGTTCTGTTCTGTCTAGTCCTGCATTTGAGGGTGACTTTTCTCTTTCGTTCTATCGTGCTCATACCACTGAGTAATCATTAGTATAGTTCAGGAAGCAGAGTCAGACAAGACAAATAAGTGCTCTCTGATGATCTCTGCTCAAAAACAAGCTGTAATAAATCACATGAACAATATTATTTCATAACAAAAATCGAAATATATTCGAATGTCCATCATCATGGAAAGTGAACATTTTTTAGATCAATCTACTGAAAATTACTATCGATTTCGATTCCAAGTAGACATGTGACATATATTTTAACGTTGTCTTAAAATTAAAATTTTAGATTCAGCCTTGATATTTTCAAAATTTTAATAGATCGAAGACTCGAAATCAAACCGTTGAAAGAATAATTTCATAGAAGAACAGAATACTATTAGAATAAAGAAGAAAATTTCATTTTTCATTGATATCTCAGTATTGTATTGTTGAAATCTATGAAATATATATGCTGAATAACGAATTTGAACATAAATAATTATATTAATCTTTTGTTAGTCACGCTTTTCTTTTTTCATGACTAAAATTTAAATGTTTATTTTATTTAGGAAAAAAAAGAATCTTTTCGCAGAGTTCAGAACTTATGTAATCAATTAAAATCAATCATTTCATCGAGAATACTTTAAAATTTCTATAATGGCATCAATTACTAAATGATCGATATCACTTAAAAGATTGTCAGATTAAGACAAAATATACATTGAACATATATTATTCTGGAAACGAACCATTGAATAAAAATTAGTTTTAGCTGAAAACCGTTTTTGACACAGTTTCAAAGTATCGATATTATAGTGTACAATTGAAACGATTATTTTGAAAAAATTGATTATAGCACGACACTAGAGATTATTCTTGAATATATACGTTTAATTTTCTCGACTAGTACAAAATCCAATGAATTTCTAGAAAATTGTCATCTCTTCTAATAGACAACAAATAGTTCCAGGTACAGCATAATATTGATCGATTGTTCCATCTTTCATATCTAATAACGACCAAAAACGTTAAAAAGAATAACAATACAAAATAATTTTGTTTCCAACTTTTGATTTACTTGATCTGTTTATCATTCTGGTTTTTCAGGTCTCATTGAGTATTGCATTGTTTTATGCAATGGAAATGCAAAGAATCCGTTTATGCAATTTCTAATTGATGAAAAAACAGAATTTCTTTGTCTAGTCGCTATTTTTATTTATTACACTAGCAATTCATTCATATATTGATTCGAAGGCAGTTAAATGAGAGCTACGCATCTATATCGATAATTTCGTTTTTCTTTTATCGACGATGATCGATCATCGTTGAACTATATGATGGCATTTTTTCATGATTTTATGATTGATTATTATACAGACTACCACGTGGAATAAGTTCTTTAAAATCTGAAAAGTTTCCTTCGAAAAAATGAAAAAATAAAATATGTTTACATTTCCAATGGCAATATAAGTGTGTGAATTACAACTTTTTGATACACTTGACGCAACAAAATGACAGTGAAGCTAAACAAGTTTTGAGAAGTGCTTTTTATTATAGTTCAGTATTTATACTGAATATTTTATGAGAATACAAGTCGTTATTCTCCTTTTTTATTTCATGGAAGTTTTCTACTTAGAAAAAAAACGAACAAAAAATAAACAAAACAAAAGTTCGGTTCTTCGTCAGAAGTAATCATTGCATGAACATTGCCCATTTGTATAGAAATGATGAATTCGGTGGGCATCCCGAACAATTATTTCACATTCACGAATAGCAGCAATTAATTTTGTCGCTCGATCTACACAAAATAAGAATTAAGAATAAAAGAAAGATGCAGATAGATACATACGGCAATCACCACATATACGAAGATTTTTCGCTACATGAATTCGCTTTGCATTAGGATTTTCAAGAAAACACCATGCAATGGCAAGTCTTTCACTGTGACCGCAAAGGACTGATGCAATGGTTTCGTCCGGGTTCAAAGGCCGTGTAACCCAACTTGAATCGTATATATGACCATGCTTAACGATTTCTTCTGATATTTTTTCAGCTTCAGCATAAATCTCATTTGCTCGAGGATGTGACTCATCATGAGCTCGAAATTTCTGTGAAAAATAAATGAAAACTATTTATTATCATTTATGCGAAAGATTACTAATCTTCTGTAGACTTACAAATACTTGTCCATTAACTGATGCCCATGCAAGACCGACTCTTTTTTTATGCTTTGAACGTAACTTCTCCAGTTGAATTCTTATCTCTGATGCTTTGTTATTTTCGCCTAATGATCCATAAACATTAGCAAGAAGCACAGCAGCTGGTATTAATGCATTCTGTTCAGCAGGAAATATTTTTTTCATACGATTATAAACAATTTTTGATAGATGAATATTCTTTTCATTTCTAGCACCTGATAATAACGCCACTAAAATAAAAATAAAAATAATCAATATTAGAATTTAATTTTGTTTTCGTAAATAATCTTTCATTTCATTCGAGCAAAGAATTGTTGGGATTCAAAACGTTTAATGCATGTTTCTTTTTCGCAAAAGAAATATTTTCATTTACTTATCATTATATTTTTATCCGTCGGAAAATCGATTAGAAAACAGATACCGTTACTCAACTGGACTACATTGTCCTGCTTTACATCAGTGAGGTTAAACTTATCTTTGCCTTGAATAATTTCATGAGTTCTTTTAAGAATGGGATACGGCAAAATTAAAATTAATCACTGTAATGTTTTGACCTGAACCACAAATAAAAGAAACGGTTTTTTGACAATCATTAGGAGAAAAAAGAAATATTTCTATCCATACTTGCTTTTATGAAGAAAAAAGGTATTTATCAGAACCTTCCATAAATTCTAATGTAAGGGAAAACTGTTCATCAATATCTCACAAAGATGCCTATTACTGTCAGTTTATCGAAAACTCATCTAATGTTAATAATATAAGTAAAACTAAATTTGAGATGGCTGATGCACAATTACTTGAAGATCAAATAGTTTTTGTCAATTTTTCATACATTAAATGACTCTGTTCATCATTTATAAAAAATATATTTCCAAAAACCTTTGAATTTAATTACTACAATTAATATCGATTTCATATAATTTTTGACTAAAAGAGAAAATCAATTATAAACATACAAATTGTAATTTATTATTTTCGGAAAAGCTAATCATTCAGAAAATCATTTTTATTGTTTACGGACTTTTTACGTATGATATTATACGAATGGCTCGATGGTTAACAAAGAAAACTTCTCTGACGAAAACAGATTTAACACATCGAGATAAATGAGCGTTTTAGTCAAATTATAACAATATTCAAAATATCGACACATTTTTATTTGCTTATGACAAATATTAGCTGAAACAGATATGATCAATCTATTATAGTATTTAAAAGGTACCGAAATCAGTTATTTTCAATATTATCTTATGAATGGTATCACTCTTTAATTTCACAGACCATATTTCACAGAAGGAAGTGCTTAACGGTACATTTATTGAATTTGATTGGCGAAAAAAAATATATATAAAGGGTTTACGTCAAAAACTAAAGTCTCAGTAATATAGTCAACTTCTCCGTATATTATCGATAACTTAAATCACCTTAAACTTCTAGCAACACTAATTTATGAAACAAAGAAACCGAATTTCTTACTCAATCAACAGAATATCAATATTTCGTTTTCGACTTCTGTTATACTATCGACTTTTTTGCACCATTGGTATTATTCCATATAATAAAATATTTTTCTTTCGAATGAAAATTTTGAGAAACACTCTTAGACGACGTTGAACTCTTTTTAATGATACACCAATAATCTTATTTTTACGTTATCTAACTGCCATGATTTAGTAATATGAATTACAGTTGAATTTTCTAATTGCAAATGATTGCTCTTGTGAATTTTTCAATATTGAAATCAAGTATCAACTACATTGGACGGATAACGTTGGTCAAACAATTCATATTCTGTACTCGAAAAAGCGTCTATATGCATAATTTTATTAAGAATGAAATAAAATATTTATTATTTAATATGATCAGTGAATATAGTAAGACTATAATTATAATTATGCATCATTAAATGTATATAAAGATGCACATTCTCTACAACAAAAATAAGTAATGAACAGTGTTTTTTACTCGCTTAATTATCTTTAATATTTATTTTATTAGCTATCACTAATGTCATACATCTATCATTATTATTTATTCTATCTTCGAAATCAATGACTAAAATAGACTGAGTTTTTCAGAATGCAGTTTGGTTTGGTCTTGACTAACTCTTAAAAACGGTTTTTTAACTCAAATTGAGTGAAATCAAATCATTTAAGTTTCGGTCGAACTAATAGAAATACTAAAAAAATTAATTTTAGCTTAAGATTTTAATCGTAATATTTATGTTATTTTGATAAATCAATAGTTATTAAGTTTTTTAGACGAAATTCGACTAACTAATTGAAAATATAAGATAACTATTCAGAAGTCAAAAGTTTTATAGAGACGAATCGAATTATATTCGGCTAACTTTGACTTGGTTTGTTTTCAATGTTTATTCAAAAAGACAAAAATAGACATGAAAACATCTCTGTGAAGAAAAAATTTTCTATTAAGGAAGTTTGGTTTACCTTTTTCGAACGAAAAATCTAGATCAACAACTAATATCTAATCATTGAAAACGATTACAATTCTCTCTTTTGTTGAAATTCATAGTGACATTTAAACATCATTTTTCACGATTCTTTTCAACATCGATATGAAATATGTACATATCTTTATCAGTAGTAAACAAACAAAATAAGTAAGTCTATTGGTTCGCTCCTTAACAGAAATATTCAATTGTTTATTGTTTTTGCTTTACTTTTGGCCTACTCTCTATTGTCGATTACATAATCAATAGGTTCACCCAGAATGTTAAAAGCATTTCAACAATACTAACTATACATTGACACACTAGGTGGATGAGAATGTTCATATTCATCAATTAGTTTTTGTGCTTCTTCAAAAAATGATCCACGACTAAAGCAATCAATCTAAAGAAATAGAAAAATGAAAATTTGAAGAAGAAAATTTCTTAATATATATCTACCATTGCACTATAAATAGTTTCTGTTTTATTTCGAATACTTTGAAAGATAGAGCAAGCTTCATCAATCAATCCCGAATGAGAGCATGCATTTAAAACAGAAATATTAGTTATTTCATCGATAAAATCTTTTGGCAATCGATGATAATGTTGAATTGCTTCAACAGATTTTCCATTTAAACCATAACCATGAACTAAAATTTAATAGATCATAGAAGATTTATCTCAAAGAAAAATAAATATAAATCAACTGACTCATCGAATTATGCATTGCTTGATCTGGTTGAAGATTTTTTTCAAATATTTCTTTTGCTTTATCCATATACCCAATTTTGCCCTAAAGTCATATTTTCAACAAAACAATTATAAAAATATTAAAGGAATCAGAGATGGGCAACTCCACTCCACTCCACTCCAACTTTGACTTCAGTTCAACTCCAATTTAAGGTTTTTGAAAATCTGGCTGTAGTACGGACTGTAAAAAGTCGCCTCCTATCTGATCTTATCTTGAAAAGTAGTACTCTTTTGCAATAGCTTCTGAAATCGATATTTCACTCTTAGTTTTTCTCATTTTTACTGAACAAGTTACTACAACAAAAGGAGTTGAATTGGAGTTGACAAAATGTATCAAATCCAACTCCCCTCCAACTCCACCTATGTATTAATACGTTCACCTTCAACTCCTGTGAAAAATAGTGGCAACTCCGGAGTTAACTCCAACTCCGACTTGGAGTTGCCCATCTCTGCAAGAAATCAACTGAATTCTTTCTTTCCTACTTCCTTTGCTGCGTTTTTTTTGTTTTAATTATTATATTTATTTTATTTTTTACGCTACTATATATAGAGAGATTGTCAAGAACTTGACGCATTATGCGGTATATTTACGCGAAATACTGAATGGAGCTATCGAAGAAAAGGTTTAAAATGTATGAGAAGAACAGTATAGGGATGCACCAATCTCAGTTCCCGACTGGTGCATGCCTAGAACGAACAGCAGTAGTATTTTTTCCATTCGAATACCTATCGGTAGTTAAATAGACTTCATCGTTTCTGTTATTTTTGTGATATTAAGTATAAAATTTATGACATGTTTGATATTACAACGCTTAGATAATTCTTTAAATCCATTATGAAAGAATTCTGGACAATGCTCTTGCAGCATTTTTTACTTTAGGTGACTTGCATTTATCGGATATATACGAGTAATGATAAGTGTGCAATAGAGAAATGAAAATCAAGATGAATAACAAAAACATTATTTACAACGTAGCACATGAACGATTCATTGCGTAAACTCAATTGTATTTAGTTTTAATGTGCGTGCCTGTGTGTATAAGAGATTTGGAATATGTTGAATTTCCTCGCCTTGTCTCGTCCTGGAATGAGATGAGTCTAAATTTTAGGAAGCATGCCGAAGACAAGTCAATAAAATACTTCAGAAATTACTCGTCTATTTACCATAGAGATGTTTTGCATAGATATTATGATATTTGAGAGAGAAAGTTAACAAAACGAAGAAAATAGAAGAAACAATTTGATGACATAAAGTAGCTATAATGCTTATAAATCTAACAGATAGAATAGAATAGATGATAATTCACGAAATAATTTACAATATGTTTTCTATAAAATACCCATAAGCTTAATTGAAATTCAAGATTTTTTCAAAGATCTGATGAATAATATATCTACCATGATCACCTATTCATTGCCTAGTAGTCATATCTATGAACGTTATTCATTTTGCTTTTTATAACACCAATTTTAATACAAAAAAAACACTATAACGTTTGAACAATGACATACTATTTTATTAATTCATTACAAAATAAAAAAAAAGTTTTCTTTTAGTTTTCTTTTTTTTTGAAGAAAATCAAAATTATTATTTTATGACATAAGTTTTATATGAGATATTAATAAGGAGAACAAATTAATAGATTAGTTAAAACGCAACGATGAAATTCAATTAGCTTCAATAGTAATATATTTTCGAAACTTACCCACATGTCAATTAATGCTGTTTGAATTTGATTATCATGAAAAAAAGAATCGGGCATTTGTTTAATAATGGATATAGATATAGAATAATCACCAATTCTTGATAAAGCTTTAATAAGACAGAGATAAATAACAACATTTGCTTGAATACCATCATTTTTCATTTTATTAAATAAATCTAATGTTTTTTCAGGATTATTTTCTTTATTAAATCCGCTCATTAAATTTCCATAATTCTCAATAGATTTTTTCATTTTTGAAAAAGAATTTCTCCACTTGAACTATCACCACATTTTATCAATGCATCTAATAAACTAGTTAGAAGACGAGAATTCAAATAGTACGACTTTGGCATTTTTTTAACAGTTTGTTTTACTAAACTTAATGCTTCTTGCGTTCTTAATTGGGCACAAGCATTAAAAAAAACAATCAAATTTACTTCACTGGGCTTTTCAATTTGTTTAAAAAGATGAATTGCTTTTCCTGGACTATTATTTTTAATATAACCTTCAAAAAACAAATGTATTTTTTTAAATTTAATACATTATATAATTAAAATCAACGGATTACCTTTCATCATTGCTCCGTACATAGGTAATGTTTTATTTGTTGATGAATTATATATTGATTCAGCATATTTGACATCACCACATTTCATTAATGCATCTAATACAGAACATAATATATACGAATTTGAATAAAATGTTTTAGGCATTTTTTCTAAAGTTTTTTTTGTTAAATCTAAAGCTTCACTTGTTCCCAATGAAGCACAAGCATTGAAATAAAGATTGAAAACAACTTCACTAGGATCTGTAATTTGTTTAAAAAGTTCAATTGCTTTTTCTGGGTCATTGTTTTCTAAATAACCTAAACAAAAAAAAAGTTCCATTTAAAAGATTATTCAAGAGAACCACAGTGTAATAGTTAATATTTAGATTTTTTCAGCTTAAATGCAGGTTCGAAAAGCATCACGTCTAAATTTAAAATGTATTTCAATGTTGTATAATCAACTTAATGAATACTAACTTCTACCTACTGTTAAGCTGTTGTAAAAAGAAACCTAGCGAAATATTATTACATAATTGTTAATTAGGTTTTTGATTTATTTATTTATTTGTTCACTATTTCAGAAGACCGAAGATTGATTTCTTAAAAAAATTATATATATATAATGTATTCTATGAACTACTCTAGTTCAATATAAAATATGAATTTTACAATTTATACGTTCGAAATTCTCGAGTTTTGACTAAACATCAGTCGCTTATTTTTCAAATTAAATCAATAAAATATGAATATTATTTTTATTTTATAATTTCTTAACTCTATATCATTTATAAATAGTTGTCATATGTTTTAACAAGCTAAGCATGTAAAAACAACCAGTGTAAACATCAGTTAAATAATATTTCTTTGGAATGATAATCACCAATAATGGATTAAAATTAGTATTTCACGATTTAATGTAAGAAAAACGAATCTATGGAATTTGATGGCTTTCTTTGAAATGATTAATGTTGTTTGAAAGTGTAATCTATTTAACGTTCCTCCTACCCAAAATGATGCCAGTCCAAACGCAAGTAAATGCCATCAAATTCTCATGATAAGCTGGGTCTGTAGTGTAGAAGCTATAGTAAAAGTTTCAGCCCTGTGCCGTGACGTTTATGGAAGTCATTCTCCAAACACGGGTTAAATATAACTTATTTGGCGAACGAAAATTCTCTGCCGAAACTCATTCTAAATATTTAAGTTATTGTTTTATTTGAAAGAGCATATCAAGAAGAAGTCAATTATTGAATTCTTTTCTTTAAATTCGGATTTTTTAAGTAGAGAAAATAGATCACAAGTTCAATGACTGAATAAACGCGCCAAAAACAGATGTCTAATTATATGTGTCTGTGTATATAACTAGAGGGTGCCGCAAAAGTCACATATCAAAAACAAAATTGAAAAGCTCAGCCATTTCTTAAAGAAACCCATTAAATTTTTTTGTTTGAAAGAGAAATTTTCCAAGTTTAGTTTACATTTCAGATTTGAAAAATGTCATATTCTATGGAGTACCAAAATCGAGATTGTTATCCTAATGGCAAAATTTGAATCGCCCATAAGGGTGATTCGTGAATTATGACGACGAGAAGCAATGGGAATTCCGGAGCGGCATACTATTATATCTATCTATCAAAAGTTTCTTGAAACTGGCCCAGTTGAAGATCGCATTCGGTCTGGGCGACCATCAACAATTACAGATGATATAATCAATGAGATGGAAGAGCCTTTCAGCAAGGAGCCACAAACCAGTGTAAGAAAAATTGGTCGAGAACTGAACATTTCAAAGGATAAAACACATCGTATTATGCATGATATTATTGGACTTAAGCCATATATGATGCATTGTACTCAACAGTTATATGATGAAGATATGGATTTACGTGTAGAAATGTCGGAGCTTTTGATACCCATTTTTGAAAATCCAGAAAATGAAGGTAATGTTTTCTTTTCGGATGAATCAAGTTTTTATGTTTCTGGGATGGTGAACAAGCACAATTGTCGTATTTGGACTGCAAGCAATCCATTTACTACCGTCGAGACTGCAATGAACTCACCCAATATCAATGTATGGTGTGCAATGTCAAGCAAGCAGATGATTGGTCCTTATTTTTTTGACGGAGACACAATTAATCAACAAAACTATTTGAATATGCTAAAAAATTATTTTTATTCAATTTTACAAAAGAAAAGGCTTCATAAAAAAAATCATTTTTCAACAAGATCGTGCTCCAGCGCATTTTTCAAAAGGGGTTCGTGCATAGTTAGATGAGAATTTTAATGATAAATGGATTGGCAGAGGCGGGCCAATTTCTTGGACGCCGAGATCTCCAGATCTAACTCCTCTTGACTTTTATCTCTGGGGCTATATCAAATCAAACGTGTACAATATGCAGGTTGAAGATATTCGTGAATTGAAGAACAGAATCGAAAAAGAAGTCAAAGCCATAAAAGAAAAACTTTGCAAAGTGTTTTTAATGAGAGTCTGAAAAGACTAAAATTTTGTATTCATGTTAATGGTAACACCTTCGAACAGTTCTTGTGAAATATTTTTATATCAAATAAAACTTGGAACATTTCTCTTTCAAAGAAAAAAAATTAATGGGTTTCTTTAAGAAATTCATGAACATCGATGTGCTTGTGATGAACGATATCGATTTGATATTTTGCTATGACTTTGAGTAATTAATGATAATTAGATGAATTCAGCGATGTATGTGGCATGATTTCGAAGAGTACTGACTGAAGTTTTTAACTATTTACATTTTACTGTCGTACTATAATTGAAATTTATGAATATAGATGTCATAAAACAATAGCAAGTAGCTTTGTTAAGAGGTTCTCTTAAAAAATTTCATCAAGCTAGGAAATGTTATTTCTTTTGTTGCTCTATATCATTAATTAGATGAGTTACGATGACTTCAATATTTATTTCTCAATTTGATATATTGAGATGTGTCTATGTTGGGTGATCTGTATATAATTCAACTAAAATTGACGATTACGATTAACTCGACAATCGAATCTTCGTTTTCTACGCAACATTACTTTTGCGAAAACCCGAGAGATTCGTGTCTCCCACCAAATTCTGTATTCGAGTCGACTCTAAAAGAAAGCCTCTAGTTCTTTGACTTTCTTTATGTATGCATCGAAACTTGTCATTTTACTGTGAATAGAGCTGATGATAGGCAATGAATCATGAACATAATTAAACTATCAATGGAAAGCATTCTCTATAAGAGTGGCGATATGTGCTTATAGTTTTCGTAGGGATACATTTTATCATGGCTTCTTTTCAACTTAGTCTTAATCTTAATCAACGGATTAAGAGAAAAGTAACATTTTCGATTAACACCGATCAAGAGAAACATCTCAGCTCGGCAGGGCGTACACAACTTGATCTGAAAGGCAGAAGAACATTAATTTGAGAATCGATTGATATTTTTCATCATACATTGCTTTTCCGAAAAATATCGAGATTCATGCTCCACACCACATTTCGTATTCGAAAGAAACTCGAACACCATCTAATAATTATCACACCGAAAACAAAACAAAATTGTTTCAAATTTGTCATTTTCGGAGTCTATTTATGTAAAAACGAAACATTTTCCAGATAAGGCCGCATTAAAAGTTATTCGCTCGATGTTAATACTTGAAATTCACGTTCGAACAATATGTTTGAGAATTTCCACTCTCTACATTATCAGCTTAGAAAATAATAGGCTGTGATGTGCACCTCGAAAATATCTTGCCAATAAAAAAATCACTAAACAAGTTTTGTTTCTATTGAGAAATCTCTATTAAAAATAGATCTTTCAGCTCTGTTTTATCCGAAAAAAAGAATTTTTTTCAATGTTTTCTTTCAATATTTTGCAAATAATAAAAATGTTTTGTATAATAATAATGATGATGATGATGATATTTTATTGATTTACTTTGAAAAATTAGTAATTGACATTTAGTCAAAACTCGAATGTTTTGAACGTATAACTTGTAAACATTGAAATACATTTTAAATTTAGATTTTATAATTTTAGACTATGAATTTTCGAATATGAATTAAAATTGAAAAGATCTAAGTATTAACTATTACGTTCGTTTCTCGGTCAACTTGTAGATGCTCTGTTAATGCATTTTATAATTAAAATCAACGGATTACCTTTCATCATTGCTCCGTACATAGGTAATGTTTTATTTGTTGATGAATTATATATTGATTCAGCATATTTGACATCACCACATGTCATTAATGCATCTAATACAGAACATAATATATACGAATCTGAATAAAATGTTTTTGGCATTTTTTCTAAAGTTTTTTTTGTTAAATCTAAAGCTTCACTTGTTCCCAATGAAGCGCAAGCATTGAAAACAAACATTATGATAATTTTGTCAGGATTTTCAATTTTATAAAACAAATCAATTGCTTGATTAGGCATATTATTTTTGATATATCCTATAATGATGTCGAATTACACATATGTTTCAATCCAATTATTCTTACCTTTCATCATTGCTCCATAAGTCGCTAATGTCTTTTTTTTTCGTTTCGTTGAATAATAATTCAGCATTTCTCACATTGCCACATTGCACTTAGAAAAAAAATTCACTTAGAAAAAAAAACGACGATTGAATATTATGAACAGTTTTGTTATTCGATTCTTTATTTCGTCTTATTTTGAATTTGTTTTTTTTAAACAAATTTTAAATTAAAAAAACAAGCAACCGAATAAGAAAAGCGTTCATAATATTTAATCATTATTTTTTTCCTTTGATGCTAACTATAAAAATGAAGTAATGAGGCTAATATGTGAAAATCATGTTGAGTACGAGATGAAATAAGACGATGAATATCTGAACCACGTTGAACATCTTTTATATGAGTACATGCTTTCAAAGCTTGAGTAATGACTAAACTTGAATGCATTTCAATATTGTTTTTCGTATGTTTATCAAATAAGTCGAGTGCCTTTTTGAATTGCTTTTTATCATTAAATGATTTCATTTCATTTCCCAAATCGAATTTAGATTGAACAGTTGATGAAGATTTAATAAAAACTTTCATAGATGTTACACGATAGTTTATAAATTTAATTGGCATAAAATGATTCATTTTATCGTTCAAATCAATTTAAAAAAGAAAAGATCTAAAAATAAGAAGAGAACCAAATTCAGTCAATTTATTTAGCTTATTAAATTTAAAGTCAAAATTAATTGAATTTTACTCAAGGAAATATTTTGTTGTCAGAAGTCTTTACATAATTTTAAACGACATAGAGATAACTTCAATCTAATCAATTTTGTGAAACTCCCATATATTTTAGAAGAAAATAGTGCCTGTAAGTTTCAAGTTCAAATTGCATAGTTCGTTTCCTTTCTCCATTCGCTCTTTGTGTTTTCATTTATCTGTCTTTTTTAATATTACTGATTATTGTTAAAACCTTTCTTATTGATTATTATATAGATCTTTTTTTATCGATTCTTAAAATCTTTACTATCGATTATCATCAAGTTTCTTATTGATTAATAGAACCCTAATTCACTCTCCCCCGACGACTCCCCGGGGATTTCTC